CTTCCTTTCTGCCTCAGCGCACGAGGCAAACGCCTCACTGACCAGCGAGTCGAGCTCTAGCAGCTTGAGAAGCTGAAGTTCTTTGTCCGCCTGATTCGTGACAGTGACATCGGGGCTCGCCAGCAGCTCGCGCGCCTCGCCGATGCTACGGTGGGCCCACATCCGGACCAACTCGGACGCCATCACCTGTTGACATTCAGCTAGACCTTAGGGTGTGCGTCGTCCTAGCCGGGCCCCACCTCGGCGACGCCGCGCACCTCGCTCGCGTGGTGAATCGGGGTGACCGAACAGCGGCGCTTCTCCTCGGGGGCAGGCTCGAGGCCATGGGGGCCTGCTTGCTGCATGCTGCACCAAGCTTCGAACTGTGTCCAGAAGCGCGACATGTACGAGAGCTCCTGCAGGATTAGCACCGAGCAGCCAATGTAGAGCAAGTTGATGTGCTGCATGGTCCACTTGAAGCGCGCTCGCTGCTCCGGGGAGCGATCCTCGCCCTGGTACATGCACCTGTGTCACAAGAGAGGAGAAAGATAGGTGGGTGGCGAGCGCTATCTGACAGCGATCTTAGAGGCGCGAGCTCACCAGTAGTCGTACCAAACAAGCTCAACCTCCTCGTGCGCAAGTAGATACTCCCGGATGGCGCGGACCTGCACCCCGCTCGCGTCGGGCTCATCTGGTCGCTCCCATCTGTGGCTCACGGCGAGGATAGAGCCGCTGTACGCGTGACGTCCAAGGGCCAGGTCGCTGTGCAGCCTCCGGGTCCGGAGCCATGTTGCGTGTGATGCCTCAATTTCCTGGAGCCGTGGCAGCGAGGAGAGCCCGAGAGCCTCGTGTGCACCGCTCCGGATGACGTCGGCGTCGACGAAGACGAAGGTGCAAGCCGCGCTGCGCAGCTCGTGCTCTGCAGCCTCCATGCGTCGCAGCTCGCGCTGGAACCGGCCCTCCCTCGACCGGTACAAGCACACAAGAGACACCGCCACGCAGAGCATAAGCGCAACCGCGCCGCCAACGGTCGAGGCGATGAGCGCCACAATGTCTGAAGGGTTGTACACACAGTCCGTCGAGTTCCAAACAAACGGTGTGATACATTCAACGTCGCACGTTTTGCCGTACCACCCTGGCTTGCATTCGCACGTCCCGTCAGCTAGGCAGAATCCGCCGCCATAACGGCAGGAGCCGGGTGACGCCGAGCGTGAGCAGTGGCGGTAGGCCCAGCGTGGCGTTGGGAAGCTAATGTTATTCAACCGACCCACCCCGTTGCATTCGGAACATCCACCCCGTTGCACGTCGGGGCCTCGTCGCACAGCTCCAGCGGCAACGGCTGCGAGACCGAAATCCCGGGCGCCAGCGATGAGCTGATCCGACCGTCGGCGTCAAATGCGATGGTCGAGTAGAACTCGCTGAGGTTCATACTCTGGAGCGCCGACGCAACCGCGGGCACAGACAGTGAGCCAGCGCGTTCGACCGCCTCGCCCAACGCACACAGGGCCGCAAAGGTGGACGCGCTGGCAAAGTCGCCCACGCGGGTGTCGGCGGGGTGCAGATCCTTGTAGAGTTGACGGTACTCGGCGAGCGTGAGGTTGGAGAACTGACCGCGTCGGCCAGAATCGAAGACGCTTGACTCCCCAATCGCGTACTGACGTCGCCACGCGCGGTTGTCGTCTTCGCCAAACCGCGAGGCGGGGGAGGAGCTCTCCGGAGACGGCACATCATCGAGCAGCATGTCGAGAAAGTCGGTGTCCACAGCTGTGTCGCCGAAGGCCGGCTCGGCCAGGGCAGTCGCAGGCACGACGGCGAGAGGAGCATACTGCAGTCGCCTAGAGTCACAGCGGCGTGTCTAGTCTATACGCTGAGGGATCCGGAGGCATCAGAGAGTGGTCTCAGCGTACTCCAGGATATGCAGCGCTGCATCCTCCTCCGAGGCACAGACCAGCAGCACCGTCACGTTGGAATCCCGCAGCGACATGACGGCGCTCAGCATGCTGGTCAAGTACTCCTTCTCATGCCCGTACTCGTCGTCTCGGAACGTCTCGATCGCCGGCGAGTGGCGGGACGGGACGTGGAACTCGCCCTCGAGGATCTCGGCCCACTGCTTCTTGGCGTCGCCGCACATGGTGAGGTGGAGCGCGTCCCTCTCTGAGCCCTGGCCTCGACACCTCGACACCAAACCTCGACACCGACTCGACACCTCGACAACCCATGCCAACTCGACAAACTCGACACCCCTCGACACCCCTCGACACCATCTAGGCTGAAACCATGCTCGTCCGTGTCAAGGTGCCAAACTCGACACCTCGACACCCCTCGACACCCCTCGACACCCCTCGACACCCCTCGACACCGCTCGACACCGCTCGACACCGCTCGACACCGCTCGACACCTCTGATGATCCTAACACAGCAGAGACGTAGACCCATTGGAGTCACAGAGTTAGAAATCAGGGTTGCAGCAGCAATCAAACTTGGCTGGCAGTACTTTCATCCCTGAGCAGCCTCTCAAGTTCTAGCTCAAGTTGCAGCTCAGTTGCACCCCTGTTGATGCAGCAAACATGGCAGTACTCAGGTAGCCCTAAGGTGCTGCACAGCACCTTGTACAGTGGCAATGAATCCTCACACCAGTGAGCTTGTGCCATGAGTGCAGACCTGTGGTCCATTGCGCTTTGTGCACTGGCGACGCTGCAACGGCGACGCTGCAGCGGCGGCGACGCTGCTGCGATGGGGTACTGTAGCCCTTAGCTGCTGGACAGCACCTTGTGCAGTGGCAATGTCCACTGACTCATGGCACCAGCCTTGTGCCATGAGCGCTGTGGTCAGTTGCGCTTTGTGCGCCGGTGACGCTGCAGCAGCGACGCTGCTGCAGCAGCGACGCTGCTGCGGTGCTGCGCCTGCACAGCACCTTGGTGCACAGTGGCAATGACTCCCGGCACTTGATGTCCTCAAATGTCCACAGAGAGTATACTGGTTGTGCTCAGGTTGTGCTACATCAACAGGGTGCAACTGAGGCTGCAACTAAGGGATGAAACAGCTTTGCAACTGCTGCCCAACTTTTGTTGTATGTTGATGGGCTGCAACTGCATCCACCTGCCACCTTGGACACCTCGATACCTCAGACGCCTCTTGACAACACTCGACACCCGCTCGACACCCGCTCGACACCCGCGACACCCTCGACACCCTCGACACCCCTCGACACCCCTCGACACTCCTCGACACGGACAAGCATGGTTTCAGCCTCGACAGGCCTCGACAGGCCTCGACAGGCCTCGACAGGCCTCGACACCTCTATCCCTCGACAGCAGCTCGACACCCTCGACACCGGGCCTCGACACCTCGACACCAGGGCTCAGGTCCCTCTCGAGAAGTACTCCCAGCCGCAGGCTCTCGAGACAGCTGCCGCCAGGAGCGGGGACGCTGAGCTCGTCGTCGCCGAGACAGCGACTGTCGACACCTTCGGAGTTTGCTGCGGCGCGCACGACCGCCTGCAGAGCACGCCGCACATAGGCGCCTCCGGTCGGCAGTAGGCCAAAGGCGGCTGGCGACGCGTCGTCTCCCTCGAGCTCTTTCCGAAGTGTATACGCCTGCTCAAAGACCTCCGGCATCGAAGCAGCCGATGACAGCATCAGCTGCCCGTCGACCACGGCCTGTTTGGACGCGAAGAATTTAAACAAAAGAACTCTCTCTCACAGCAGACAGGCTCGACACAGGTGCGAACTGGCGCGTGCTAGTACTATCACCGGCACACCACCGGAGCCGCCTAAGCGACTCCGTTAAGAACGGCAATGCACTTAGCTCCGTGCACAATGCCGCTGTCCCCGCACGCTAGCTCGTTCACCGTCTGCCACGCCACGGCGGTGTGGAGAACGACAGACAAGCGCTGCATCTGCAGCCCGTGCCAGTTCTTGGTGGTCCATGTGACCTCATCGAGGTGCTGAGCGTGCGAAAGTTTGTTACTCAGCTGGTCCGCCGCCTGCCGAAGAATTCTGCGGACGCCGTCCCCGAAGCCGCCGAACGTCTCGAAGTCGAGCAAACGCAGGTCGCAATTCTTCTCCCGCGCGAACCGGTATTCGCCCTTCTCGTAGCGGGCCGTCACAGGTGCCCCCGCCTCCGCCTCCCCCTCACTCTCCCCCTCCTCCTCTTCCGCCGCCGCCGCCTCCGCCTCTGCATCCTCCGCCTCCCTCCCCCCCTCCCCCCCCCCTCCCGGCCGCGGCCATGCAGCATGCCCTAACACTAAGTCGAGCAGCGCCCGCTCGGTGTTGCCGAAGGCGACAAAAGCCCCCTTCCAGCCGAGCCGATCGCCACCCTTGCACGCAAGCGAGCTCGTCAGTTTCAAGTCGCCAACGAGGCGCACATGCCCTTTGCCGATGTTCGCCGCCGCCACGTCAGGTTGTTTTGGGTTACTGTAACTGAGGTGTGCAGTCGGCTCCATCTCGATGAGCATGCCCCACGCCGAGCGAAGGGTCTTGACGAGTCGTTTGAGCAGGTATTTGTGTCGTGTCGCGTGCTTCGCACGCGGGTTGACCATTGCGGCATCGCCGAGTTCTTCGTGCGGCTTGCCGTTTGGCGCCTTCTTGCCCGCCTCCACCGCCTGGCAGGCAACATCGAGCGGGAGGCCGAGGCGGCGCTGAACTGTAATGCGCATCGCCCACGTCTCCATCTTCATATCATCCCGCATGGGGATCGCATTCAGGAAGGCGCCAGCCCCCTCCTGGCTGACTGCGACGAACCGAATCGCCTCGCGCCAGCACTTGTGGTTCTTGCACCTGCCAGTCTTGTAGCGGCCGCCCCGCCGTGGCTGCTGGTTCGAACTCCGTTTGTTGCATCCGTCGATTCCCATTCCTCCCTCCACGCGCGCTCACGCCACGCCCCACCCCCCGCAGCCCGCAGCCCGCAGCCCGCAGCCCGCAGCCCCTGCCCGCTGCCCGCTGCCCGCTGCCCGCTGCCCGCTGCCCGCTGCCCGCTGCCCGACTGCTTTTTGGTATCTCCACCTCTCCACCCATAAGCCAATGATGAATCTGCTGTGCGAAACCTTCTCGCCCCTTTGACTCCACCTCTTCTCCAATCCTCTCTGAACTCCACTGGTATTTTGGCGCTGATTGTGTTGGCTGGTCCCCACGACGTGTCTCCACCCCATTCTTCGTGTTGTCCCCGGTAATTGGCTCATCCTCTATCGCCTCGTACACCCCTTTTATGCGATGGGACCCTTGATCGGCCGCGCTCAAAGGAGGCGCTCCGAGAGAGACACCTGCCATGGAAGGAAAACACGCCTGTCGTGTGAATCGTGCGTGTGCGAGAGCTTTTGCTCATTTCCAGGTTGTTCGCTCGGCGCGGTACGCTGCGTTCTCTGGACTCGCCCCCGCGCCGCCCCCATGCCCCGGCGGAGGTCGCCATCCGACAGTCGGGACCGCGGCCGCGACTCTTCGCGCGACCGCGGCCGGCGCGCTCGCTCCCCTTCGCGCTCGCCCCTGCGCCGCCGCTCTCCGTCTCCGCCCCGCCGCCGCCGCTCCCGCGAGGACGGCCGCGAGCGGTCGCGCGACCGCTCGCCGGCGTCGAGAGGCGGCGGCGGCGGGGGGGGTGGCGGCGTCGAGGTGGACGAGTTCGGGCGAGAGTTCTACCGCGAGGAGCGGCGCCGCCGCTCTCGCTCGCGCGGCCGGCGGCGCTCTCGCTCGCGCTCCGGCCGGAGGAAGGACCGGTCGGCGTCTCCTGCGCGTGACCTGTCTGCGGAGCGGCGGGAGAAGCGGGAGAAGCGGCGCGAGAAGCGGCGCGCCGAGCGCGAGCGCGACCCCGCCGCGGAGAAGTCGAGCCAGAAGGCGGCGACGCAGTCTCTCTTCCCTCCGGGAGGAGACCTGGCGCAGTACGTCTACGACTACCACACGTACTGGTACGTGACGCACGACCAGGTGTGACTCATCATACTAATAGTGCTCATGATGAGCATGTGCCTACCGCACGTGCTGGTGCGTGACGCACGGGCAGGCGTCTGAGATAATTAATTAATGTCGCATGAGACAAGACGCGGGTGCGTGACGCACGGGCAGGTGTGGTGCACTAATCTAACTATTAGTTATTCGTAATTGTTTAGGTGTGGTGGTACCGGCCGGACATCACGCTCTGGTGCGACTCCCGCTCCGCCTCTTCAGACGAGGAGGAGGAAGAGGAAGCATTCTGATCGCCATCTTCATGACTCAGGTACGACTCCCGCTCCGGATGCTACTACTCTTACGACGGAGCGGACTATGTCCCGATCGAGCCCGACGCCGCCATGGCTGCCCTCGCCTCCGGAACCAACTGCGCGCCCGGCGCCGCCGGCGCTGCGGCGGGCGAGGCGGCGGAGGGGGGGGCGGAGGCGGGGGAGGCGGCGGAGGCGGAGGCGGCGGCTGCCGCGGCGGCTGC